ATTATTGGTAACAGTCACATCAGTGGTAGTAACTCATTAAACGCTTCACCATTTCCCTTCTCAAAACCGGGTAAAGTTTCTTCTTCTTTGACAGTGGCTTTTTCAGGTGACACGTCTTCAGCAGCGTCATTAGTTCCATTGTTAACTGCGTTCCAACTGAAATGACCAGAACTGTGATAATTCCAATGCCTGTTGGCATGCACCACATTTGGCTTATCTCGCCACTATGTCATATGGGCCATCCCATGGAGATGACAACTTAGGAGACTTCCCTTTGGTCTTCCTGGGATTATACAACAACACCTTGTCTCCTGGTACAAAACTGACTTAACTAGATCTCTTATCATAGTATAGCTTCGTGGAATCAGCAGACGTTTTCAAGTTTGAACGCACTTGATGATGAATATCATCCATCCTTTCATATAACACTTTCACGAACTCTGACACATTTTCAGGCAACTCTTCATAAGGTTGGCGTCCTATTAACAGACCGACTGGCAACCGAAGTTCCCGACCAAACATCAGCTTTGCTGGAGTGTATCCAGTAGCTTCATGTTCTGCTGTTCTATAAGCCATCAACAGTGGAGGGAGTAAGACATCCCAGTCATCTAGTGGCTATTACAAACTTTACTAATTCCTGTTCCATTGTCAAATTGTACTTTTCTACCATTCCATCAGACTGTGGGTGAAGTGGCGTTGTCCTGGTCTTTCGTATGGCAAACAACTTGCAGCATTTATGGAACACAGCTGATTTAATGTTACGGCCTTGATCTGAACAGAGTTCATATGGCATACCAAATCTGAAGAAGAAATCACTAATAGCCGAAGCTACAATTATAGCTTCCTGATTTGGTATTGCATATGCCTCAGGCCACTTGGTGAAATAATCCATCACCACACAAATGTACATGTTTCCAGCACGAGTTTGGGGCAAAGGACCAGCAATGTCAACAGTTACTCTTTCCATTGGTGCGCCAACTTGATATAATTTCATTGGAGCACGATATTTATACTTGGGTCCCCTTTTCAGTGTTACACAGTAGTTCTTCTCTGGTCTACTCAAACTCTACTGAAGTAGGCCACCACATGTTCGTTTTCGCCCACTTTCTGAGACAACACTCCTCCAATTCCGACATTACTAGCATAACAATCCAGTATGTACGACAGTGAGGGATTTGGAAGCTTTAAAAGTGGAGCTGAGGCCAATTTTTCTTTCAATGTCTTGAAAGCATGCTGGCAAGAAACTTCCGGTAATACATACAGAGTCCCAAGAAACTTCTTAACTGTCCCACATTGTCTGGTGTTGGTCAATCATGCACTGCTTTTACCTTGTCAGGATCAGTTCGCACACCATGCTCACTTACAATGTGATGCAAGTAAAGCACCTCTTTCTGGAACAAGTGGCATTTCTTTGGATGGAGTTTGAGGTCTGCTGCTTTCAAACGCTTGAATACTTCTTCTAGCCGGGACATTTCCTCATCAAACGTTGTTGCAAACACAATGACATCATCCAGGTACACTAGGGTTATCCTCCACTGTAGGCCTTCCAGTACTCTTTCCATTAGCCTCTCAAATTGTTGCTGGAGCATTGCTAAGCCCGAATAGGATCACACAGTGTTCGCCGAGAGACCTTCGGCCCATAACTAAATTGACCTAGTACCTTAGGTTT